GTATTTTTTCTGCTCAAAAGAACATTGAAATTAGATGATAACGAGCAACCTTAACTTATCAATCTTTTCTTTCCTCTAGGCATTGCTGAGGTTGGAGTAATGCTAGTTAGCACTTCTTTGGTGACACTAGTAATGCTTCTCATATGGCAGACTAACCTATTCCTAGCTATATGCTTCCCAGCCATATTCGGTACGGTAGAGCTTATCTACTTATCAGCAGTCTTATCCAAACTATTAGAAGGCGGGTGGCTACCACTTGCGTTCGCCTTTTGTTTTCTCTGCGTGATGTACACTTGGAATTATGGAAGTGTACTAAAGTACCAGAGTGAGATGCGAGAGAAAATCTCCATGGACTTCATCGGTGAGCTTGGATCCACACTGGGTACCATTAGAGTACCTGGAATTGGATTAGTGTATAATGAGCTAGCCCAAGGTATCCCTTCAATTTTTGGCCAATTTCTCCTTGCTCTCCCAGCAATCCACTCTACAATTGTGTTTGTCTGCATTAAGTATGTACCTGTTCCGGTTGTTCCTCAGAGCGAAAGATTTATCTTTCGAAGGGTTTGCCAAAAGGATTTCCACATGTTTCGCTGTGTTGCTCGTTATGGATATAAGGACGTAATTAAGGAGGATCATGGTATCTTTGAGCAGATCTTGGTGGAGAGCCTTGAGAAATTTCTGAGAAGGGAAGCTCAAGAACTTGCACTAGAGATGAATCAAGTTGAGCTGGACTTTGAGGACGATGAATCTATAAGGTCCAGGGAATTTGGAGCTCCAGCTGTAGTCGGAGAGCTTCAAATTCCACTGCTTTCTGATCAAAGGTTGGATACTAGTAGCACTTCCAGTGAAAAGGGGGAACATGTTTCCGGGCTTCCATCGAGTGCCATGCCTTTAGTTGAAGACCCAAGCCTTGAGTATGAGCTATCAGCTCTTAGAGAAGCAATGGAGTCAGGATTCACGTATCTTTTGTCCCACGGTGATGTAAGAGCAATGAAAAGTTCTTGGTTCTTGAAGAAGTTGGTCATTAATTACTTCTATGCATTTCTCAGGAGAAATTGTCGAGCTGGCTCAGCAAATATGAGTGTGCCTCATATGAACATTATTCGTGTTGGAATGACGTACATGGTTTAATTCAGGCTAAGGTTTATATTCAGATGATGTATTCTTTTAGTAGTAGTTTTAGTGCTTGTTATATACTGTGCTTTGGTATGTTTCTATTGGCAGAAAATTTGAATGTTGGATGTAGAAATTCATGTACAACATTATGGTCAATAATTTGATTCATAAGGGATTCATTATGAGTTCCAGGTTGCTGTGCTGATGGCATCACTGCAGATATGGCAGATTCTTCAGCTTCCAATTTGCGCGTGTTGTAGAATTTTGGTAATTTGAGCAAGAAGGTTTTTATTTTATGTTCTCAATATCATTACTTTTTGGTTCGAGGATAAATAATAGCAGCAATTGTAGTGCAAAAATACTGCATGAGATTAATCTTAGTTGCAATGACAGAACTTGGCAATGGGAGCTAGAAGATATCTGTGAACGTGGGGGACATGTGCAGCGGGCCCAGGGCCCACCCGAGATACATGTATAGCAATACATGTATCTCCCAAAATTGGGCCACACCCGAGACAACCCAAGTCAACCCAAGTCCGATTCTTCTCTTATAAATATCACTTCTTTGAGGGTTTTTGCAGTGGGTTTTTTTGGCGGCTGTGTGAGGAAAAACAACGGAGGATTTTTTTCGCTGCAGAGAAGAAAACAGAGGGTTTAGTCGGCCTTTTTTGAGGAGTTTTTCAGGAGGCTTAGATCTGAGATCTTGAGGAAAGAAAAATAGAGAGCTTGGAGGGATTTTACAAGAGAGAGGTCAATTTCTTTTGGGTAAAAATCATAGCTTTATCTTTGAGACAAGCTTGTGGATTGTACAAGTCGGTGTTCTTCTTATAGTGGAATCTCCCCTCACCCCACCCGTGGACGTAGGCAAGTTTGCCGAACTACGTAAATCTTGTGTCTTTACTTTTTTTTTTTGTGTTGGCTATTGCTTGTAGGTTCCCTCGACAAGTCAGTCCTAGAACTGATGAGAGGAAGAGTGTATATTTTACTTTGTTGAGATATTTCACTTTCTATTCTTGTTTCCTTTGTGAAACAGGAATATAGAGGTTGACTTGAGCTTTTGTGGAAGTAAAAGTCAGGGCTTTCTCTCGAGTGATATCGCTTCCACGGCGTGATGGCGTGACTCTGCGCCCAACAATTGGTATCAGATCTGTTATTCAGATTGGGAGTGGTGTAGCTTCTGGTTTGAGGTGGTGCTCGACAATTTTCTGAGAGAAGCGGATTTATTAATACAAATGGATGATAGCGTCAACTAGCAAAACAGTTAAAGTTGGAAAGTACGAGATCGAAAAGTTCAATGGGAAGAATGATTTTTCCTATTGGAGGATGCAGATGAAAAACTCGTTGATTTCGCAAAAATTACACAAGGCTTTGGCTGGAAAAGAGAAGAAGCATAAGGATATGTCTGATGAGGATTGGGAGGAGCTGGATCTGAAAGCACGGGCGTAGATTATCCTTTGCCTTGAAAGGGATGTAGCTTTCTTGGTAGATAGAGAGGAAACGGCTGCGGACGCGTGTGTCAAAGTTAGAAAACACATTCATGACGAAGAGTCTAACGAACCGAATCTATTTAAAATCCAAATTGTACACTTGCAAGATGGATGAGGGCTTATCAATCCAGGAATACATCAAAAAGTTTGATAGGATAATATCGGATTTGAAGGACATCGATGTGACTGTAGAAGACGAGGATCATGCTCTTCTACTACTTCTATCTCTACTGAAGTCTTATGAGAACCTGATGCAAACACGGATGCTTGTAGGAGACAATTTGAAGATGGATGAGACTAGAACGGCGCTTCTAGCGGATGACCTTCGAAAGATTACAACCAGCGACATGACTACTGGTGGTAGCAAAAAACAAGCGCAGATATTGTTTGCTAGAGGAAGGAGCAATAAGCGAGGAAAAGGCAAGGGAGGAAAGTCTAGATCTAAATCAAGACCTCTTGCGGAAAGAGCGTGTTTCAAATACGGTGAAGTTGGGCATTTCAAGATCGACTGTCCAAATAAGAGAGTAGGTGGGAAGAAGAACAACAACAAGACTGAGAGGAGAGAAGGCAAGGAAGAAGCAAGCTATGTTTCATAGGAAGGGAGCGAGAAGGAATGCTATGTTGTCACGGGTGACGAGGATATCTCCGGGAAGTGGATTCTTGATTCAGGTTGTTCTTATCACATGTGCCCAAATAGAAAGTGGTTTACTACCTACAGAAGTATTGATGGTGGAACCGTATTGATGGAGAACAACCATGCTTGTAAAACGGTTGGGCTAGGTAATATCAAGATCAAGATGCATGATGGAGTAGTCCGAACATTGACAGATGTGAGGTACGTTCCTGACTTACGGAAGAATCTTATCTCAGTTGGTGTATTAGACTCCAGTGGTTGCAAGATTGTTACAGAGAACGGAGTGAAGAAAGTTGTTCGGGGTTCCCTAGTAGTGATGAAAGGTGTTCGTCACAGTAATTTATATACTCTCTCAGGTACGATGGTGACAGGAGATGCAGCGGTTGGAATTGAAGGAAGTGGTGGAGACTCATGTGAGCACACACGGTTATGGCATAAGCGGTTTGGGCACATGTCAGAGAAGGGTCTAGTTCTGCTTGGTAAGGAGAGTTTGATGAAGAATCTAAAGAAACATTGCATGGATTTTTGCGATGATTGTGTTGTACGGAAAGGCGCATATGGTCCAGTTTCTGAGGAGCAAGCACAAGAGTAGAGGTATTTTAGATTATGTACACAAGGATGTTTGGGGTCCGGCTCAGACTACTTCCAAGGGAGGCTCTAGATATTTTGTCTCATTCATAGATGATCATTCGAGGTATGCTTGGGTTTATTTTCTAAAGCATAAGAATGAGGTATTCGAGACATTCAAGAAGTGGAAGGTGATGGTTGAGAACAGGACTGGGAAGAAGTTGAAGACACTGAGATCTGACAACGGTACAGAGTATACAGATGGTGCCTTCAAGGAGTTCTGTGATCAAGAGGGCATTGCCAGACACTGGACAGTTAGATCTACACCACAGCATAATGGGGTCGCGGAGAGGCTGAACCGAACACTGCGGGAGAAAGCAGTGAGTATGCGATCTTATGTTGGTTTGGGCAAAGAATAGTAGACAGAGTCGATTGCTACAACTTGCTATATTGTGAACCGATCTCCACATTCTACATTGGATGGTGATACACCCTATAGGGTGTGGTCAGGGGAGCATGCAGATTATGAGAGGCTCCGGATTTTTAGGTGTATCGCCTACTATCACGTCAATGAAGGAAAGCTTGACGCGAGGGCTAAGAAGGTAATTTTCTTGGGGTATGTAAAGGGTGTAAAAGGCTACCGTCTTTGGTGTACAGAATATTCGAAGTTCGTGATCAGCAGGGATGTTACATTTGATGAGAAATCCATGATTGCTAAGGTACCCAAGGATGATGGTGTTGGGACTGTTGGGACTTTAAAGTCTTAGGTTATTGAGATAGAACCTAAAGACCAACCAGGTTCTAGTCATGTTCAAGTGGAAAATCAGGTAGATGATGAGCTTGAACAGGAGGAGGTTCAGAAGGAGAATACACAAGCACTACAACAATAGCAGCTCGAGGATAATTTGGCTTCCACTAGGTCAAGGCGAGCATACAAAGGAGGTACTGAAGCTGGGGGCTGATCAACCCTGAAGCACTATGGGCAGGTTAATTTGATGGAATACGCACTCTCGGTGGAGGAAGATGAGCCGGTCTCCTTCAAGGAAGCTATTCGGGACAAGGATAGTGAGAGTTGGTTGGCTGCGATGGAGGAGGAGATGAAATCTCTTCGGAAGAACCAAACATGGGAGGAGTGAGAGTTGGTTGGCTGCGATGGAGGAGGAGATGAAATCTCTTCGGAAGAACCAAACATGGGAGGTGATCTCATTGCCCATAGGAAGAAAAGCTATTGGTTGTAAGTGGGTGTATAAGAGAAAAAGAAGATGCTTCAGAGCTCGGTGGTACAAGGTACAAGACGAGGCTAGTGGCTAAAGGGTTTTCACAAAGAGAGAGTGTGTATTACAATGAGATATTTTCTCCGGTCGTGAAACACACTTCTATTCGGGTGGTATTAAGTATTGTTGCTCATGGTGATCTTGAGCTGGAACAACTCAATGTAACGACGGCCTTCTTACAAGGAGACTTGGATGAAGAGATCTATATGCATCAACCTGAGGGCTACAAGGTTGAGGATAAGGAGCATCATGTATGTCGCTTAAGGAAGTCACTCTATGGACTGAAGCAATCTCCACGGCAGTGATACAAGTGATTTGACTCATTCATGCTGAAGCATGGGTTTTCCCGAAGCGATTATGATTATTGTGTTTACATTCGGAAGCTTTGTGGAGGTGATTATATCTATCATTTTTTTTTGTATGTGGATGACATGCTTATTGTTTCGAAGAGCAGGGTGGAGATAGATAGACTGAAATCTCAACTTGGTAAAGTGTTCGAGATGAAGGATATGGACGCTGCTAGGAAAATACTGGATATGGAGATTAGGAGAGAGCAGGCGAATCGACGATTGTTCTTGAGTCAGAAGGGCTACATAGAGCGGGTGATCGCGAGGTTCGGGATGTAAAATGCAAAGTCGGTGGTGACTCCATTGGCTCCACATTTTAGACTTTCAGGTAAACAATCTCCTCCTACAACGAAAGATAATGCACACATGGAGCGCGTTCCTTATGCTACTGTAGTTGGCAGTTTGATATACGTCATGGTGTGTACACGCCTAGATATTTCACAAGCGGTCAGTCTGGTCAGCAGATTCATGGAGAATCCGGGAAAAGCACATTGGGAAGCAGTGAAGTGGGTCCTGAGGTACTTGAAGGGTACTGTTGATACGGGGTTGTGTTTTGGTGGAGATACGTGTCAGATTGATGGATTTGTTGACTCTGATTATGCGGGTGATCTAGATAGACGACGATCTACTACTGGTTATGTATTCAGGATACATGGGGTTCCAGTTAGTTGGCGATCGATGTTACAGGCTACATTGACACTTTCTACTATAGAGACCGAGTACATGGCCATGACGGAGGGAGTGAAGGAAGCATTGTGGTTGTAGGGTCTTCTAAACGATTTGGGGATTGAGCAGAAGAACGTGAACTTGTGATGCGACAATCAGAGTGCGATTCACTTGGCAAAGAATCAAGTTCATCATGCTCGTACCAAACATATCG